ATAGGAAAAACCTGCTCTGAGACCGGGATTCAAAAAAAAACTAACTTAAAAAAAAAAAAAAAAAAAGAACAACAACGAACCTGCAATGGCAGCAGGTCGGTGGCATAATCCCCCGTTAAGGAGGTGACCCCTCCGCTGAGCAACGCGCATCTGCATGTGCCGAATCTGCTTGTTTCAGCAGTTAGGAAAGTCTAATCCTGGCTTATGTCTGCACAGTGCTTCCTGACATGGGGGTTTGCGGTGGCTGCTGCGGTTCCTTATGACCATGTTTTACATTCTTCGAGGCGGGGAATTTCCATGCAGTGCTCACTCCCAATTTAAAGAGGACAGTATTCCAGAAAATGGGCTGATTTTTTTTCTAATGCATACTGTGAAAGAAAAGAAATACAATTACCAATCTTTATGGTTCTTCAGGGTTCTTGTTTTCTGTTTGTTTTTTTTTCCTCCTGAATTATTAGCACAAATCTTTGCACAGAACAGACATCCCCACAAATAACCCTTTCCTCTTCCAAACCAGCAGCCACATCCTACGCAAACGGGTTCCTGCTTCCCCTGAGTCCTACGGGGGCTCTTTGCTTGAGCGGTTTGCGGGTGGCCCTTTGCTCACAACCCTGCAGCTCAGGACCTTGGGGAGGTGAGCCAGGGAGGGGTTTGCTCTGCCCCCTCGCAGGAAGCCTAGCGAGATGCTGCTCCCTTGCAGTGCAGGCCGTTCCCCTCCGTGCTTCATGCAGGTGGTTTTAAAGGAAAGGGAGAGGAGAAGCTGCACCTAGAGAACCCCCTCCCCAGGAGCCCTGGCTGCCCCACAGCTGCAGGCCAGGCCTCCCTGCCTTTGCTTGGCTTGCAATGGGTGGTCCAAGGAGACAGCAATGGGAAGGACCCGCGGTCCAGCTGCCAGGCAGCCCCCTTAGGTGCGATGTGTGGGCTGAGCCTGGGAGCGCCTGGAAAGGACTCTGCACCACCTCGTCACGCTCTAAGGCACCTCGAAGTGCTCTCTCCGGCTCTCCTGCCCTCTGCCTTGCCAGGCAGGCAGCTTCCAGAGACATTCGGGCTTTCTGCAAACACTAGTTCTCGCGGGCGGAGGTTTTGCCATCTGCTGCGCACTAACTGACGGGAGTGGGGCTCAGCACTTTTCCCAACCAGCCGCTAGCTTTCCCACCAGCAACCTACCTATTTAACACACTTTAACTAGCCTGATTGGGGCCAGGTGCCTGGCGCAGGCTTGGCCCCAGGCCCTTTTATTTCGCTTACTGGAATGACCAGGCCTTTATTACTTGCCGGGAAGAACTGTGAGGCGTGTCCTTTGGGCAGTTTGAGAAGGAAAAGGTTACTTTGCTTAAACATTAAACACTGACTTAAATCCAACAGTGACAGCAATTCGCAAATATACGGGGATTTCCTTATGCCACACATTTCACACAGCTCGGTCTCGCCGTCCCCTCGGTGCGCCGGCGTTGCGACTCCCGCAGAGGATCAGTCAAGTGCGCCATCCGCAGCAAGGAGCTGGTGTCTTGGAGGGGGGGCGAGCAGCGGTTCCCGGACGCGCGGCAGCTCGCGCCCGCTGCTGCGCGGTCTCTCCGGCCAGGCCTCCTCTCCTGCAGCAGCGCCCGCCACGGTCAGCAATTGCTGCTGTTTCTGAATTCTCCGTTCTCTGTAATCTGCAATTTAGTTGGGTTTGTGGGGGAGATCCCGTTACGTGTCTGCATGCTGTACCTCTCTTTCAGCTGAGTAAGGGCACTCATTAACCGTGCGTTGGCCGCATCCAGTGAAGCAATGCGTTTCTCCTGCGAGCAAACAGAAAGAGGGGAGCTTTCAGTGCAAACACTGGCACCCGCTGCTTCCCTGCCACCACGCGTCTTGGCAGAGGGGGGCAAAGCCGCAGCCCGGTTCTGGTCCAGCGAGCCCAGGAGGGGTGTAGCCCCAGACACCGGTTCAGTGGGAGACTGAGCGAATGGGGCCAGTTCAGGCCAAACACATCTCCTCCCTGCACTAGGGTGACAAGCCACTGGTGCCAGCACTAAACACGTGGCCTCAGGGACTGACGCTGAGCTTCTAACTGGGGAGCCCCGTCTCCGGCCCTGCTCTCTAGACACCTGCCGGCTCAGGTACTGGCTCCTGCCATTGCTACGGTGCCACTGGGATTTGCACGAGCTACCTGAAGGCTGCCTGTAGCACAGAGCTGTCCTCCATCCCCCTAATTCTGTGGTGCTGGACTGAGCCAAGGGCCATCAGCCCCTCTGCCCACTGCCCCCTGGCACGGGAGGATTGCAGACCGCTCCAGCCTCCGCCCATGTCCCGGGAAGCGGTCTGTAGCAACGCTGACTCCTGCAGTTAAGTTGGCTTGTTTTGTTGGGTGCACCTCGTGACGGACGGGCGTCCCCTGGCCGGGTGACAGACCGTGGAGCGGGCAGTGGCAGTGAAAACCTTGCCTGCAGGCTTCAGCGCCAGCCTGGAAGAGGGAGCTCAGTGCCACTAAATGCTCTGTCAGGTGCATCTGTCCCATCGCGACCCTCGATGGAAACCGAGCAGCCGTGATGGCCGGGCTACTGCAGGGCCTCGCTGGGGCTGCCAAGCTCCCTGCTTGCTCAACAGACTGCCCAGGGCCCTCCTAGGGTGGGTGGGTTCCTCTCCCAGCCCCTCGGCCAGCCCTTAAAGCCCCATGGGGGCTCGTTCGTTGTGTGCTAGCTGACCCCAGACCAAACAGATAAAGCCGTTTCTACCGTTCTTCCACTATGCAGAAAGCCACCAAGCAGTCGTGACTGCCCCAAAGAGCAGCAGTCATGGCAAGGACACAATGCATGCTCCGAAACCCAGTTCTTCCCCTTGCATGCAAATGGCAGCACCAAACTGTTCTTTTTTTCCTTGCAAGTAGCTCATTAAAAGAAACTCGGCCACCTCCCAGGGCAACAGGGGTGCCAGGTGTCTGCCTCTCACTGACTTTAGGACCCTGCAAAGGTATGACAAGGACTCGTAGCTGGCACTGCAGCACTGGCCCTGTCTACCACAGGCGGGTTACTTTCCTTTCCTGTCTCAGTTTCCCTCTCTGCAGAACAGGAATAAAAATCTAGCTCAAGCACATGCTGAGCAGACACCAAAATACTGTTCGTAAAGAGATCCAAATGCCTTATTTCCTGTGCACAGGCCATGTCTGGTTTGCTCTGCAGAGACCCCAGTAGGTTAGGGACACGGGGACTTGCTTTGCCAGCACAGCAGACACTCACCCTTTCTGGGCTGGCTGCTCTCGCCCCTTTGGTTGCCCAGGGGTTCGGATAGTCTTTTGGCCTGCCTCAGTAGGGGTTTACATTTCACTTGCCAAAGCTGGAGTCCCTCAGCCCCCCACAGCTGGGCCTGTTTTCCACTTGCAAGTCTGGGGCACCACATTCAGGGTTTCTGAAGGGTCCCCAAACACCGATGGGGGGGCTCAAGGCAGAGCGACACAAGGCTCGGTGGCAACCGCTGTCCCTTTAACCATTACCACTTGTCAAGGCAAGACGGTGATGCTACCTTCAGCCTGACCCAGGGCCGAGCACGGGCCGTGGATCCATTTCACATCTGCATGCAGCTTGCTAAAACTGCAAGAAAGGACCCCTGTCGGATGGGGCCTTGCTGACTTGCATCTTTCCTCCCCGAATTCTGCGGGTCGCACCATCACTTTGACATCCCCCCTACGGCTTCCTGGCCTGGCCAGGCACTGTCGGCCTGCTCCGTCGCAGGCTGCCATCTGTCTGAGGCACCCAAAGGCACCTCTGTCAGCAGTCCCGCAGCCACCGCCTGCTCTTTGTGTGCACGGCAGCATCCGCGGTGCCACGGCCAGCCAGAGCAAAGCAAAGCGCTCACTGCTGGAGGAGCTTGCCTGGAGTTCGGGAGGGCTAAGCAACATGCCTGTGCAGCCTCAGAAACAGCTGACCACAAGCAGACCTGCTGCCCATGTGGCCAGGGAGGAAGCCAGCCCTCACTTCCCTGCTCAGCTAGCACTGCTCTCATACCTCCTTCCCTTGCCCTGCTAGTCTCTCCTGACCCTGATAACCAAGAAGCAGAGGCATTTTTCAGGCTGCATCAGTCTGATCTGCCTGCACGTCTGCTACCTAAAAAAGCCTCAGCTGTCAAGGGAAGGTTTACAATATTGAGCAAGGCTGGCACTTGGCTTTGCATGCAGCATCTCTACTGGTACCTTGGTGAGAGAAGAAATACTTGCAGATGCTGACGAAGCACAGACTTGGTCCTAGTCTGATGTAGCTGGGCCCAGCCCTACTCTCAGACCTGGACCCTAGCCCATGTGCTGGACCACCCTACCTCAGCCCATCACAGACACAGGCAAGCTGCTGGTTTGCAGGCTGCAGCCAACACATCTTTGCCAGCTGTGGGCAGACTCCCCGCTCTGTTTGGACACTAGATGCACACACTGATTTACAAGTGCTGAACAAATCGCTCTAGCAATCGCTTCCTTCCTACAGCTCTCTCGGCTGTCCCCATTTCCATTCGTTGCACAATACACCCATCAGGAATGGTGACTAAGCCACTCGGCTACAACACTGGCACCTGGGTGCACACTTGTCAGGCCAAGGGGACCCTGATCACGGCTTGTTCAACCTGGGGATTCAGGCCAGATTCAGCCTCCGTTTCTCTGCTTTATGTCCTCCTGCTTGTTCGCAGCAGTTAGTAATGATGCACAAGAGGGGCTACACAGCTGGCAACTGAGTGTCCTGTCAGCTAGAGAGCTAACTTCTAACATTTGTGCCTGGGAGAGGAGGCCAGGCCTTGTGTTTGCTGCCAACAAATGGGAGCCATGGAGCTGCCATGTAGCTGCCCTGAAGGTGCTTGGGTAAGAGCCCCACACTGGCTGATTCACCCCACAGTCCGTTGGAAAGTCTCTGCATACAGCTGGATCCCACACCCGACCTGCTAAGGGAAACGCCTGCCTTTAGCCTCACCCAGAGCCTTGCCCTTGCACCCATCTCCCTCTGCTCCAGATGTGCACCCACAAAGAGACTCTGAATGGAGAGGGAACATGGAGGAACCATCTGGACCATAGTCTTCCTCTGCACAGGTACCCTGGGACCACCAATTTTTTAAAGGGTGCCTTGCTACACAGATGGAAGAATTGACCTTTAATGCCTCCTGCGGTTTCTCCTGCAGAGAGATCCACCTTGCATCTGCCGCTGGGCTTTGATTATACTAACATCCGAGAGTCACGGGCAGCAATGCCATCTTGTCTGCACACAACGGAGGATCAGGAGGAGACGGGCTTTCAAGACTAAAACTCAGTGCTGTTGCTTTGGTGGGTTTAAAACCTATCCCTCTAAGGCTATGGCAATGCTGAGATGCTCCTCTAATCCTCTAGATCCATTTCGGCCTGTGGTGTCGGGGTTGGGGGGAGGGAGCATCACTGCTAACAAGACTGTAATCCTGGCGAGATCATAAAAACCCCACAGCCAAGCCCCTCTGTACCCGGGGGAACATAAATGCAACCACGTCCCCTCGGCTGCAATGCAGTACGCGCGCGGAGCCCCCGTCTTCCTTCCAGCCGCCCCAGAGCTGGGCAAAAACATCAGCACGAAGCCCAGACTGGGCACATCTCACCTTGTCTGGGCCTGGACAAGCTGGGTTTTCCTGAGCGGGAGGATATGACGGTGGCTTCGGAGGAGAAACCCAGGAAAGGTGCTGGTGCCCTGAGGGCTGGGATGGGTTTGAGCAGACTGCTGGAGCCTCGGGGAAAACTCAGTTTGTGGGTGACTGCTTCAGGGTGGAGGCTGAACCAGGAGCCACAGAGAAGGAGCCCACACGCGTGTGGGCATCCCTGCTGGGAAGCAGGGCTTCGTGGCTGTCACACCCAGGTCCCCGTCCCACCCCCCAGATCCTGTCCCCCGGTCCCCTGCCTGCCACCTGTCCCTGACACAGAGGAGATTCAGGCAGGACACCAGGAAAGCCTCCCTGCCGGTGTAGCTGGACTAGCTCACCGAGGGAGGTGGGGATCTCCATCAAATGTGGACTGTAACAGCAGGAAGCTGGGTGTAGCTGAATCCTGCCCTTGAGGGGGGTCACGGACCAACTGACCTCTCATGATCCCTTCCAGTCCCATGCCATCTTTTCCACTCCCCCCCTTGCATGTCCCGCTATCCTGTCCCTCTTAGATCTATTTCCCTTCTGCCCCCCCCATTCCCCATCCTTTCCGTCCCTGTTTCACAGCCCTGTGTGAAAGCAAATCCATCATGATGATCAGTGCATCATGCTGAAATCCACCCCGGGGCCAGCGTGAGCACTAGTGTAGCACAGTGCAGCCGCAGCCACGGCCTGGGCAGAGCGCTGCCCCTCTGGCTCCTACTTGGAAGACATGCGTGCTGTGGCGTGATGCTGGGGGCAGCACGTACCTGTGCATCGATAATCTTCTGCTTGGAGTCCACGGCTGCCTGCATTTCTGCATGATCTTTCTTTAGTTCCTCCTCCACCGACATCAATCTGGCAACAGGAGAAAGGCGTGAGCTGTCAGCGTCCACGGGGCAGGCAGCGAGCAGAGCTCCCCGCTGCGGCTTGGGCCAGACGGGGAGCCCTGGAGGCCGAAACATCCCCTTTGCACCCAAATCAAGCAAAACCCGGGTGGCAGCAGCACCACTGCCCCCAGCCACCAGCATGCCCTGCACCAGCCTCAGGGGACAGGTCAGCCAGCTCAGGCTCCTTCCCCTCTGGCAGCATCTGCGATACAGTTGTGGGTCTACCAGAAACCAGGCTCAGCCCCACCAGCTCAACACACAGGCCCCTCAGCTGTCAGCTGGTACCGGCTTCATCTTACTGTCATCCCAGGCTGGGGTTGAGCTACAAAGCCCCGGCCCCGCAGGTAACTGCTGTAGCAGCACAGCACTGGGCTTTGCTCGCCCCCACCTCAGTGCCACGGTGCATGTTACACCCAGCACATGCTAAATGCACTTAAAATGCGAGCAGGAAGACATGTGCCAAGTGTGCTCATGTTGTAAAGCGGGGCTGTTCGTCTGGTACAAGCATACACCAAACTATGAAACTATGAAACCAGCCTCCCGGGGTGAATGGTATATATTACTTCCTTGTTCGCTCCTTGACACCAAAGGAAGCAAATCTCTACCCAGAAAATAGGCACCTCCCTCCCCAAGGGGGTAGAGCTGCCCAATGCTCTCCTCTGGCATCACAAAGCGCCAGAGACCCAGGGGACTTGGACCTGCACATTTCTGGGCGGGAAAGGACAGGCACAACCACCTGCCTGGGGAGGCTTGCTAGCAAAAACAAGCAACAGATGCACCCTGCCATTTCAATGCTGCCGTCTCCTGATCTGCTCTGAACTGGTCAGAGCGACCGACTGCAAGAGCAGAGCTGGTCAAACTCTGCTCCAGTGCCTGGCACCGGGATGCTGGTGTCCATGTACCTGTGGGCTGGGGACATGCAGAAGGCAGACAGGGTATTTATGGTGTCATCAGGGAGCTTGCAGGGGACAGCAGTGGTGCGAGGCCCACTAAAAGCTGACTACAAGGACAAGAGTTAGTGGTGTCGCTCAGGCTACTGAAAGTGTGCCCGGGCAAACAGTAGAAGACCGTATTGCCATGGCCGCAGGGGAGCTCGGTTGTCTCAGGGGCTCGTCGAGCTTCGAGTACTATTCAATGGACCATGGGATCTACTTTGTCCCACCTGTGGGTGCACAGAGCAGCACCCTGAGAGTCTGCAGCCTGGGAAGCCCAGACAGGCCTGGGGACCAGACCAAGAGGGCTCTGATCCAGTGCTCAGGGCACGCTCCAGCGTCTCTGAAATGCACCCTCGAGCTGGCACGCAGCACATGCGCTCACACCCTTCCCTGCTTATTTTTTCCTGGCTCCTTGGCTCAGGGCCCGCTGCTCCTCCCTGGACAAGAAAGGTCTTAGGTGCTGCACCGGGGATGGGAGGGCGCAGCGGGAAGCTGCAGGGCGCTGCTCGACCCTCTGTCTCCTCCCCGGGAATCCAGCTGCGTTGCTTGGGAAAGGGCCATGACGGGTTTGTAGTAAACCACGTCACACAGCACCTCGCAGCTGGCCTCTGCAGAGGGCTGGCTCCACCTTGCTGAACGGAGGGTACCAGCTTACTGCTGCTACCAGCTGAGAGTCATTCCTTCAGCCCAACAGGCCGGTGCTGACGGCGCTTGCATGATAAGGCTTTGTTCAAGAGAGCCCCACCTCAGTGGTGACACTGGCCCTGAGGGGACCCGGACTCCCAGCCCCAGGAAAGTGGCTGCAGCCATACCCCACCCCACACACCGGGTCCAGCAGCCCCAAATGAACACTACCCCCTGCCCACCCCGTACCTGCTGATGATCCCCTTCATCTGGATCTCTTTATCCTCCTGCTGCCGGCGGAGCCGCTCCTCGCTCTCCTCCAGCCGGGCCTGGTACTCCAGCACCAGCTTCTGCGTCGTCTCCTCCTGGCACTTGAAGCGGCTCTCGTACTCCTCCAGCTTCTTGTTGGAGATGCGGAGCTTGTCCTGCAGCACTACCAGGTCCTGCTGGTACTGCGGCGCCCGGGGAGAGAACACAGGGCACGTTACCCACCGGGCTCTGCCTGGCCGAGGCACTCCGGCAGCCCCGCCTCGCCTCGCCTCGCCCCTCTCCTCGCCTTAGACTAGCCGCAAACCCGCTAAAAGCAACCCTGCGTGTCTGCTCGACACCTCCTCCTCTTCCGTCTTCTCCGAGCCGCGCTAGGAGCGGTGCCGCGCTTCCGCGGGGAGGCCGGGTCACTGGCAGGTGCAGAGAATGGACGTTAGAGCAGTGGGATGGCAAAGGTGGGCAGGGGACGGACAGCGCAGGGTTAGACGCAGCCGGGGAGGCGGCACCAGGGGCCCGTGGCTTCATGCACTGGCTCTTCCAGTATGTGGCAATAACTGTGTTACTCTCAGCCTCCAGCGGACACTTCCAGGCACGTTCAACCCAAGTGCTCAGCCGGCTGGCAGGCTAGGATGCATCGGCCTCCCACCGGTTGAAGGCAGGGGGGATCTGCACGAGTTGCCATGGCCTGAGCCCGGGGAACATTTCTGCTTGTCAGCTCTCAAGCGGGCAGATCACTGCGAGCCAGGCCGGGGGAGTGCTCCCATGCTGGCCAGGCACTGATTTTCCATCTCGCCAGTGGGATCAGAATTGCCCCGTCTCAGCAGAAGAAGGTCTGGTGCATGAAGCCAAAACCGCACCCACTGGGCTGTACAGACGCACGGACGTAAAGGGTTTTATCAAGGTAAACAGCAGCAAAAGAATCACACAACATCAATGAACAGGGTTAGGAAAACAAAGGCTTTTTAAACTCAACAGAATTGCGCTCAGCTGCTGTCGCAGTTCAGCGTTCAGTCGAGCTTGCTTGGATAAAGGAAAACTCCAGTGCATAAATATTCAATGGGAAAAAAAGATTTTAATTTCAAAGAGGTGGGGGCAGGAGGTGGGGGGGACTTCATGAATTGCTTAGAAGTGCACTAACCACGATAGATTTAGAACAAATAGCACGTGAATGGGAAGCTGCCATTGTGACAAGTTTGCAATATAGAAAAATAGCTCAATTCGAACATTTATTTGCATAAAGGCCGAAGGTTTTCAGTGCTGATATATGTAAAGCTCTTTGGATACGTGTTATTATTCACCACAGAAACATGGTTGATTTTACATGGACCTGGTCGAGCGGAGCAGCTGTCCTGCACGTTTAACCTTAAAAACAAGGCCTGAAGAGCTAGGATTTGCTTTTCGGTCGCTGTGGGCATTACCTGCCAACAGAAGCAGGCTTCCCCCAGGGTAATTCCCAGTGTTAAACTTGGGGAGCATCACTGAAAGGGTAGCTCTCGACGAGAGGGAAAAGCCAGCCCTGTGCCAGCCGGCTCATCGCCGCGTCCAGGCGGCTTGGAAATTTATGACGGGCTTGCTTTTACCGAGCCATAAAAGTGTTAGCATTGCGGCAGGTAGCAAGGGGAGCAATCCACTCGATCCTCCTGCCGGGGCGGAAGACGGGCGTCACAAATCACTGTGGTTTTCCTTTAACAAGGCCTCTGCGGGGGCACGGAGACGACACAGATCACACATGTGCCCCGGAGGGGCGGGGGAGACGCAGACGCCCGCGCGGTGCACGCGGCCGAGGAAGTCAGACAGAGGAGGGTGGCTTGAACAGGAAAGATTGAATACCTACCCTAGGCTTAAAATAGGAGCAGCGTAAGTGAGCTCAAATGATAGCAGGAGAGGCCTCGGGAGAGCGGGGGAGTCGCTCCTGTCTCTAGAACACTTGTCTCATTCTCGGTTACCATTCAAGGCTTACAGTCGTGGGGAGAGAGATTATGCTAATGAAGATCTTTAATGCCAGTGACTGATATGACAAGAAAGTAACACAGGATGCTGCATGGGAATGAGACACCCCGCTCCGGGGTGGGTCTTGGCAGGGAGTGGGGTTTACGGCAATGCTGCCGGACGTCTTAATCCTGCCCTGGTCTGCGGGCGCCGGGTGGGGGGGCCCGCAGCATCCAGCCTCTCCGGCCGGCGCGGGGAGCAGAATCCACCTGAGGGGCCCCCTGTTAAAAGTTGAGCCCATTTCACTGGGGAGGTTCGCGGGGAGCGGGCGGTTAGTGAGGTGCAGTGGTCAGTGGCATGCAGTCTCTCCTGAGCACGGCGCGGTCTGCCTGTGGATCGGTGCTCGCCGGCGCGGCTTCCCGCACGTCGCCCTGCTTCCCTGCCCTGCCGCGGCTCAGCCAGGCCCCCTTCCCTCCACGCGGTGCTAGCCGCTCCGTTACTAACGGCGGAGTCTGCCGGGCTCTCCGCTCCCCTCCTGTCACCGCTGACGTGCATTGAGAAGACGCGCGCTAGGTAACGGCCTCTTCCGACGCTCTCTGATCGGACCGGCCACTGCCGCCCAGCTCTGTCCGTGCAGAAAGAGACCCAAGAGGGAGAAAGGCACCACTAACATGGGTCACGTTCTCCAGGGCAGCCCCACGCTTGTCTTCCTCTGGAAGACGGGAGATTTCTCTTCGGGCCTCCCTGTCCCTGCTGCAGAAAGCCCTGGCACTTGGCTTGCATTGAAGAGCTGACAAGGCAGCCCAGGGAAGGATGCCGCTCCAGAGACAGCAGCAGGTCGGCATGGGCAGACCAGAGCACGGCTCCAGCCGGGGGGTCCCGCAGAGGCTGGGGTGAGCCTGGTGCCGGCGCGACCCGCTCTGGGGGTGTCAGCCAGGCTGCAGACAGAGCCGGCTGCGGGGAGAGCTTCTTGCAAAGACCTCCCCACCACCTACCGCAATGAGCACGGCTGGGCTGGGAGATCGCTGACAGGAGGCCCTGGCTCCGGGTGCAGCATCAGCGCTGCCCATCCGGAGACTGCTACAGGCGGCATCTTCCTTACCCTGTGCGCGAGACGTCTGGACTCCTAACCCCGCTCCCTCCACTCCAGCCAGGCCCACGCCAGCCTCCTCCCTGCTGCACTCTCCTTGGGCTTGCCTCGCGCTGCCTGCAGCTATGGCAGCCGACCTCCCTGGATCAGCATGCTCACGCTCAGCTTGTGGACTAATCTCTGAGCTTGGCTCCACAGGCGCAAACCTGAAGCCTCATGACCTCCAGGGCAGTCGCATCAGACTTGCGCCACTGCAACCAAGACAGGGCTCTGGCCCCAGCCCTTGCAGCAAGCTGACGGCTGCTGCAAGCTCAGAGGTGGCAGCTCTCCCTGGCCCCCCGTGCTCCTAGCAAGCTGGGAGGACCGTGTTTCCTAAAGGAATGAAGCCCAGCTTTGCAGGTCCTCCTCCCTGCTGTGGGGGTGAGAGGGAGGGGAGCGGCATGGGGCAGCAACAGGCTCCCGCATGACCTTGCGCGCTAACTTCACCAGCCCATTCCTGCCCCTTCTCCCCGCGCGGAGCCCCGCCGCGCCCTGTCCCCTGCGGGCGGGCAGCAAGGCGCCCGGAGACCCCGGTCCCTCCGTCAGGAAACTCTCTCTATGGAGACACTTGCTTCCATCCAGTCGGGTTTTACCTTTTCTGCTTGGCTGAGCTCGTGCTTATCCCTGTGCTTGGAATCTGGGTCAATGCTCTCATCTTCTACAAACTGCATATTCAAAAGCCAAGCAGCAGTGCGGTCCAGGGCATTGGGGTTCACAGGAGAAGGGGCCTACAATGAGACATACAACCACGACAGAAGAAAAACGGTAACAAAAATGGACATGAAGCCATAGAGAAGAGAAGAGAGCGAGCGTGCGTGCGGGTTCCCTTCCAGCCGTGGCCCCCGCCAGCGAGGGAAGGGTGCCAGCTCCCCGAGCGGTCTGGGAGCAAGCGTTGTCACGTCCCTCCAGTTGTTTTCACCTGTTCCCGAGGGGCCTTTTCAGGCAAAGCTCCCCCTCGGAAGCCCCCAACCAGCCGTCACTCGCTGTCAAGCCAACAGACCTTTGTGGCTCTGGGGGGGTCTTGCTGTGAGAATTAACCTACGGCCAGCAAACACCCGCCAGCTCTCCTTCCAGTCCCCGAGCCCCTCTAGCCTGGGCAGGGTCTCCGTGCCCCCAACGCCCAGCAGTCATCCAGGTGTTTTCCACACACATTGCAAACTCCAACTGCAGTAGGGGAATCTCCTGCTTTCCCTCTACCTTGGCTGGCTCTACCCGCGTGTCCTGGCTCCCTGACATCTGTGATGGATGCACTTGGCCAGGAGGGGTGCAGGACACTGTCCCTCTTGGTGCTGTGCAAAGGACGCTGGGATTTCTCAAGCCTTGTCAATGGCAATAACACGGGAGTTGGCCCCTTGCATCCTGCCATGGTTTTTTCCTCTGATCTCAGACAGTGCTCCAGCTTGGCACAGCTCAGAATCAGATTCAGTGAGAGAAATCAAGCAAAGAGCTGGCCATGCGAGCTTCCAGCCAGCGGCAGCAGAGACTCGGGCCTTCTAATGAAATGGCCACTTGACAGGATTTATTTGCTCTCAAACAGCGTTAAACATGGCTGAATAGGAACAAGCAGTTTCATTCTGATTTACGTGCCCTGGTCACACACGCAGAATATGCAGACTGAAGCTGGGAAAGGCATCTTGCGGGGGAAAACTTTGGGGAGAGCGGGGAGAGGGATTTGCAAACACAGTGCCTGGAGCTTTCCTGAGAGTCCCAGGGCATTCATTCAGCTCAGCAGAAACACTGTGGAACGGGCCCCATCGCTGAACGGGCCCTGGTGCCTCGTAAAGCCCAACGCCCTCCCCACATTATGAGCATTGGACCTGATTACACAGACACTTGTACACGGCACGCTTGTGAATGCCTGCACTCATGGATCAATACACCGGACACAGAACTGCTCCCAAGCAGATGGATAAAATGGCCTGTAGTGGGCAGCCCGGTAAAAGGCTCCACGGGTGCCTTGGAAGAGAGGAGTGATTACACCTGTCCAGTTCAGCACCTGGACCTAAAGGCACCTTTGTGCTGCGCTGTGAGTTACCCCCATTCTTTACACTTGCATTATTTCAAAACATCTCTGGTTGAGGTACCCTCATCCTTGTGCAATTCATCTTTCTACGGGAGCAGTTTGAAACCCGCCCCCCCCCCATATCAGCCTACGAAACCAGTGCCTACATCTGGGGACAGAGGGGAGACTGAACAGAGACAAACGGTTCTTTTGGCTTCACAGGGACCCCGAATGCTACAAAGCGCCTTTGCTTCTCCCTGCTCCTCCACCTCACCCGTCCTAGACTGCATCTGCTGGGGAGGATCAAGGACACGACTGACAAGAGGGGGAGTTTCTGGGAATGCCAGATTGGGCGAAGCGGTCGCAACGGGACAGAGACTCTGACACGGCGGAGGTCCTGGTCCTTGTCCATGAGATGGAGTCGGGTTGACAGTGGCATGGGATGAGCAGCTTGCACACGGATAGGCAAAGCAGTGACGGGATGGTGGGGCAGAGCAGAAGGGCAGCGCGGGCCGTGAGCACCGTAGGGTCGTGGCTGCCTACAGCCCTGAGACCGCCGCGTGCTGGTGGGGAATATGGATGCAGCCCGTGCTGTGGGGTGACAGGAACTTTGCTGCTCCCCTCTGGGGATGGCCTGTGTCTCCAGGTAGACAGAGCATCATGGCAGAGCCCGGCCCCCCGTCCACGCATGGTGCTGAAGGGGGGACTCGAATTCCAATCCTCCCTCGCTCCAGAGTTCGCACCCAGCTCCCCTGCCCGCCCCCAGCTGTCTGCGCTCGGCGGGACCCCCGGGACTCACCTGCTTGTGCATGGTGCGCTGCTTCATCTCAGGGCTGTCGCCCTTGGAGGAGGAGGACTGCTGCCGCAGGCGGGCCCCGCTACCCGGCCAGTCGGGCGAGGAGGACATCATGCTCCCACTGGATGGGCGCTGGTACTGGACCGTGTTGAGCAGCGAGGGCGGCGTCCTGCCCCTGGTGACGGGCAGCGGGGGCGGGGGCGGCTGGTCTATCCGTCTCTGTGGCCCGGCGCTGTTCTGCCGGGGCATGGTGGGCTGCCCGCCCTTCTCCGTCAGCGAGAGCTGCCGGCGGGCCATCTCCCCCGTCCGCCGGGCAAAGTCCTCGGCTGCCGCAGGCGCGGCGAAGCCGTGCTTGTTGGCTGTCAGCTCCTCGCTGTTGCTGTGGGAGCTGAGGGAGCTGTGGCACTCCGAGCCCGAGTCCCCCAGGCCCCGGGGCGACAGCGGCAGCCCGGCAGCCATCTGGTACACTGGGTTTTGGAAGGACAGCGGTGCCAGGAGTTGGGGCCGGCCAGGAGCGCTCTCGGCATTGGGGGTGGTGGGGGTCTGGCCGACCCGGCGCACCGTGGCCATGCCTGCCACATTGTTCTGCTGAGTTCGTGTGGTCCATACGCCCTGTAACTGCCCCATGGACGACTGACTGTCATTGAGAGAGTCAGCAGTCCCGGGCGCGTTGGCCCCGCCGTCCAAGACGCGATTGTCCTGCAAGTCCACCATGGACAAACTCTTGCTGCCATTGGACATCTGCACGTCAGGCTCATTGGCCTCCGAATAGCTGGAGCTGCGGGCAGGGGAGGGCTGGGCCCCAGCAGACCTTGTGACAAAAAACAAGTCCTTGTTTTCAGGGGTGGGAGACGGTAACCGGGTGAAATCTATCAGACTGCAGGGAGACAAAGGCACAAGGGGAAGGGGGAAGAAGAGAGAAGATCGGTGAATGCTACACTGCAGCAGCAGACTGCTGGGGAAAACGGCATCGCCAGTTGGGCAGAAACAAGCCAGCATGCGGGGGCTCTGCCTTGCTCCATCGGGGAGGAAAAGCCTGGGTAGAGGAGGGCACAACACGCCTGGAAGTACCCGTGTGCTGCTGGGCTGTCCTCCGTGCAAGCGGGGAGGTGTGGGCATCAGGGCTGTGGCGTGAGTGAGGCCATGGTGAAGAGCAGGAGGACACAAGGGTCTAGCTGGGTGCAGGACAGAGGCCCTGTCGGGACGTGCTCTGGGGAGCGCTCCATCAGACACTACAACCGCTGTCAGTCATCCCGCCCAACACCGGCCCTTTGCTCAGGTTGAGGCAGACGGACAGGCGGCTGGGGAAATCCACGGGAACAGAAAGAGCGAGTGGACTCTTATATTGCAAGCTCTTGGGGGCAACGATTCCCTTTGTGTACTGTGGTGTTAGTGCCCCACACACTGGCAGACACTCAGGTAGACCTAGGCACCTATATGCTACCACACTGCAAATAGCAAACAGCAGAAAGGCAGACAGCTCAGGGGGCTGAGGACCAGACCCGTGCTCCTCCTGCTGCCCCAGGTGGCTGCATCGATTTGCAGTGGCTAACACAGAGACGGCTTTGCAGCAGCTTAACGCAAACGCACCTCTGATCAAAGACGGCGCGTTGGCGAGGCAGTGTCGGGACCGGCACACGCCGTTCTTAGGAGCTCTCCCTGGCTCAGCATGGAAACAGCTGTACCCCATGCTGGGATGCATTAGAGATGAAAGCTCTGAGCGGAGCCAGTCCGGCTGCCTCACGCCGTCTTTCATCCATAATTAAATTGTTAAGTAATGGGCGTTTCCATTTGAGATCCGCTCTGCATCTGTGTGGGCTCCGATTCACCCTCCACCAGCACAGGGACAACTCCCTGGATAGGTCTGCAATGGAGTCAGCGCCCCCCACAAATGCTGTTCCTCCCATCATGAGCCCACCCGGCATGCACTGGGGGACTGCGCCGGTGTGTTATTGCTTAGGGAAAATAGCTAGGGTTTTGGTGCATCAGTTCTGATATAACACAGGCAGGGCGGGAGGAAATCCCTGACCCGCAAGCTCCTAGCAGAGGGGGTTCAGGTAGCAGCCAGGGAGTTAGATCTGACAGCAGTTCAGTGCCCCGTGAGCTGGACAGGCCCAGCCTTGCAAACCTTTCATGGCCGGGAGCTCCCAAGGACGGTGAAGGCCACCGCATGCACTGTACATGTTCACAGGATGGGCCTCTCCAGCGCTCACAAGAAGGGCCAGGGGAGAGCCGAGCTGTGACCGCAGGCCGAGCGGACAGGAGAGCAGTCCTGGATCCCAGGCTCGTTTTGCTCAGCACCTCACCCTCCTTGGCAGGCAGCACAAAGAGAGCGGATCCACACCCAGGACCTAGTGCCCAGCCTCCCGGAGGCTTTCCTCCCGACACGGCACAGCCTCAGGCTCTCTCGCACACGCTCTTACCCAGATAAGTCATTCTCTATCACCATTTTCTGCAGCCCTGCAGAGATGCTGTTGCCAGCACTGGGCGTCGACACGGTGTGGTCGGCCGTGACCGAGACCTGCACGCACGCCGGGTTATTGAGCGCCGTGTTGACGTCCCTCAGAATCCGAGGCAGAGGCCCCAGTTTCGTTGCCATGGCCTGGAGAGGAACAGGGAGAGGAGCGTTTGCTGCTGCTTTTCCATGTAAAGGGAAACCTGGGCCCTCAGCTGTTCATCCACACCCGTGTGTGGGCCTGCGGCTGCCCTGGGACGAGGGGGCAGGGTGCCTGGAGAAGGCACGTGCTCCATTGTGTGTTTTGAACAGCACAGAGCAGGCTCATGGAGGATCCAAGTGCAGCCCGGGCTCTCCTGACCTCTGCAGAAAAGCTGCAATGAGGAGGCACATCCAGGCCCTTCCGGGGCACTTTGCTCCCTGAGACAATAGCAACGCCTAGTGCTCAGCACAGGGGACTGAATGGCTGTGGCTCCCGAGCCCTCATCCCTGCCTTGATTTCACCACAGTGCAAAGGATTTGCTTAGACCTGCTTGTGTCACAGGGGCTGCAAGGCATGAGCCGTGCTGGCAGCAGGCACGGCTCCTGCAGAAGTGCAAAGTGCTAATGGCTGGAGCTGGCACTACCAACATACGCCTTCCAGGGACGCAGTACTGGCCACTCTTGCGAGCAGTTTGTGCGCCAAAGCCGGGTGGTATGGTGCACACAAACCTCCTGGGGACTGCCCGGGCTGGCCCCACGCGCGCCCGCAGAAGGTACCTGTTCAAGCTGAGAAATGACCTCCCAGAGCAGAGAGTGCAAAGTGGACAGTTCCCGGCCAAGGTCAATGTAGCCTTCAAAGCCAGCTGTATTGGAGATGGTCTCAGGATTGGAAATTTCCAGGAGGAATCGCTGCATATTCGTCCATTCGTGCTCCAGAAACTGGTTCATAAAGGACATATATTCCTCTTTGCTGCCAAATCTATGAAGACAGGTACATGGATCTTAGACAGAGCCTGTGATCATTGAACATCCCATACGGGAGCATCCCATACAGGAGCAGGTCGAAGCCTTGCTTCCAAAGTCCTCTCCTCTTGCTGAGCCTTTAAGATATCCAGTGAACGAACACACTGCTTAGGACCCAGGATCATTTAGGGCCTAGGAAAATACTTATTCAAGTGAGATCTGGACCTTGGAAATCAACATGAAAGCTTGACAGCAAAGCTCTGTTTGACAGAGGAGTACATCCCACCCTGTGCTGTGGACATGTCCCTGATAGCCAGTGAATGCTATTGTTTGCTCTCAGTTAAGGAGCCCATCACATTAACTGTAACCCTGGGAATGGCCAGGAGGTGAACGAAGATAAGCCGGGAACCCTACAGTGCCTCATCCCCATCTTTGATATCTGGGATGAAGACGGACTCAGAGAGGGCTCACCCTCCGGTTTTGCAGACCAGAGGTGCCTGCACCCATAATCCAAACGCCCCTGAGCTCTGGGGCATCTCTTGCAGCTGGAGGCTGGCTCTGCTTTTGCCCCTCTGCGTCAATGCCAAACCCAATAAAGAAACAGAAGCTTTTCTTGGTTTTTTTGGACTCAAGCAAGCACCTAAGATCCTGTGCCCATTAGGACCTAGCATTGGGGCTGGCTTGAGCAGCCATTGCAAATGCACAGACTTCTTATTCCCAGTGTGTTGCTGACCAGCGCTGGAGTGCACCTGCCTGTCCCAGCCTCTCTGCCACGGGCAAAGCGACAGGCCACAGATGAGTGCCAGGATGCTGCAGCCACCCCAGGGCACCAGCAAACAACGTCACTGCTCACAGCCCTCCTGCCAGAGCAGGCGAGCCGCGTCTCCACTGTCTGCACGAGAGAGACAGCGTCTGTTCCCAAGTGTGAAAGCTGGGAAGGTGCGGATGTGCCTGGCATGCGAATGCCTTGAGAGTCAAGCTTTGAATACACTTATTGCCAGGTAAGCAGAACTTGAAATGGAGATGCAAGGGTCTCGCCGCCCTTTTCTTGGGAGACTTTGTGCTCAAAAGCTCGTCCCAGATCTCACCCATCTGTGCTGCTGGTCCGATAGAAGATATCACCCCCTTAAATATCCCTGCCCCTTGCATGTTTCCTGGACTATCCTGGCTGCAGCATCGCTTGGCTCTTGGGCAAAGACACGTCATCACAGTCCCTGTTACATTAAGAGCAAAGCCAAGACACTTCAAATGGCTCCAGAAGAGTTGGGGGCGCCTTCCTGCTTTAGAGCGGAGAGCAGGAACTGGGTTGAATTCACAAGCACTCTCTCTCTCAGGTGTAGACTTGTTATGAGTCACAAGTCAAACGAATGTGGTGTCTCAGCCAGGCCCTGAGCTCAAACCCAACAACAGGGCATGGCTACTGGCTCAGGTGCACGGACCGGTTGGCAGAGCCCAGGGTACCGCTGAGAGTGGCTGTGGGCACTGACAGAGCAGGCTGCGCCTGGGACAAGGCAAAAGCAAGCCAGGCTGAAGGCAGGGCAGGCCAAAACGGGGATGTCCAGGCATGCACTCCACGCACAGCCTAGCTATGGCCAGCTGAGCCTTGCTGCCTCTGCGTTTGTAAGCACCTGAAGCCAAGTAACACAAAGCAGCACTTTGCAATCGGGCACGGGATGCCCCATCCCTTTGTCAATGGACCCCATCCTCTTGCAGGGCTGGATTCTTCTCTTAGACTCGAAACCTGAAAACCTTTGAGCAAAGGGGAGGGCAGATGTACAGAGAGGGCCTGTCACCCGGTGTAACACACTTGCACATCTCCTTCCGTGTGCGTGCATGCATGCCCGCGTGGCTGGCTGCCAGGCTGCACATTCGACTCGTTTCCACATCTAAGAAGCTTTAGACTGGAGTTGTCCGTGCCCGTTTCCGAGAGCGCATTGGTTTGTTATCAGAGCTCAGGATAAGGAGCTCAGAGCTTCTACCAGAACCGGTGGAAAGATTTTCAGAAATCTCTTGCTTTGTTTCCACCAAACCTCTGTGCTTAGCTAGAAATTGATAGCTTCCCCAGCTCCTTTTCATAGCCTCTGAGTTCAGAGGAGCTCATTTCAATAACTACGAGGCTCACTGAGCTCAGGTCCGGGGAGAAAAAGCTTCCCTACATGTAGGTCCACTGACACTGGTGGTATCTAGGGTTTGGTCACAGCGGTGCCTCCAGCGGGACAGCTAAAATCCACACACCTTCGGTCATGGCAAGCGAGGTGCCTTCTGTACCAAGCCTGGCCAATTTAGAAACCAGGCGTTTCAATGACGGCCAATCTGCCACTCTGGGCTGAGAACAGACCATTGCCCGTTGTTTTGGAAAATAATGGGTGTGTGGCTGCAGGGCAATGACCCTGCAGAAGAAGCAGAGGTGTCTGTGCAAGCCCCTCTACCTAGGGCTTGGCCGCAGCCTGGCGTCCAGTTACCTCTGGCTACGGCCTGTCCCGCAGCAGGAATTCAAACGGCCCCTCAGCCTCTGCGCAGCGGTTTCCCACCTGCAGCTGTTCCACGGTGCAGTGCAACAAGCAGGTCTCAGCCTGGCTGCCAACACAGCCCCCACACATGGCACTAACTGCCCCGCCAGCTGCTCATCTCGGCAATCCCACCACACCCTGGTCCTGCTTCCCTTGAGGTCCCTGTCCATATCCCCCCACTTCAGGGAGAGCGGGGTCCCCACGGCTCAGGCTGCAGGATGCTGGCAGTGTGGCACAGGGATGCCTGCTCCATGCTGCCACACAGGACAGGGGCCTTCAAGGTGTGTGAGCCCAGCACCGAGCACGGCCTTCAAAACCAACGAGACTGCAAGTCCGCCTTCCCTTCGCGCTCTCCCAGCTCAGCCCTCGGGCCCCCCAAACTCACTTTGCAAAGTTGGCGAGGTTCTGCGTGACCTTGGCAATGAGGGTCAAAGTGCGTGCAGTGCGGTCGTCGGGGTACTCCTGGAGGAGACTGAAGAGGGAAGGGGACATGATGGCTGGACAGAGGAACCGGAGGAACAAGGAGGCACTGATGAGGCGCTCGCTGATATCCGGGCGGCCACGGTTGCTGCACTCTTGTCTCCACGAAGCAAAAACCTCTTTGAGCTCCCTGGGGAAGACGCTGCCAAGAGAAGCCAGGGCTCGTCAGTTCAGGACTAGGCATCTCGGGCTGCTCTTGGCAAGGAGCCGCCGGGATGCTCTGCCTGCCAAGAGGAAGGACTTGCCTACCAAAACCCCTTTCCCTCTGGCTTGTTCCCAGGGCACGAACTCTGGCTCTTCACCACCGGAAGCCTCCATCTCTACATCTAAGGGAGGAGCTCATCTAACAGACAGCAGTAGTAGGTCCTTACCCTCTGGCGGAGTACCCAGGGGACTGTATGGGAACATTTCCGGCTGCAAGAAAAGCAGGCCAGGAACTGCATTTGGGACTTAAGGCCCATTCGTGCCCATTCCTGGCCAGCTCCCTGGGCTGGATGTTTGGCCTTAGCATTAAAAGCCTGCTGTCTTGCGCCTGCCCCGCTGCCATCTTCCCACCTCTTCCTGGTCCACCCGTGCTACTGATCTGCTGGATACCCCCACCCGAAGGGCGGCTGGACAGTGGATCCCACCGCACCACGGCTGGTCGCTGGCGCAGGACCGGCACTCCCAGGAAGCCAGCTGGCCCCACGTTTGCAAAGCAAAGCGATTCAACTACAGCACCCAGTGGGAGATGGATGGGGGGTCTCTGCCCACAGCTCACCCGAGAGCAGCCAGTTTAGCCAACAGCAGGAGCCCTGGTCTCTGCAGGGCTCAGAGGGAAAATGCACGGAGCGTGCTGGGTGTCCTGCCTGGCATGGGCAGACAACACCACACAGGCTACGCCCAGCCTGGGACGCTGCTCTGCCCAGGACAGTGCCACCCATCAGCCATGACTATGAGAGGGGCTCTGACCTGGAGCATGGCTGGGGACACCGCTCCGGATCCGTGTGCTGCTCACGGGCTGCGGCAGAGGCAGGTCTCGGGGTGCTAACAAGCAAGTATCCCTCCCAGCACTAGCACTCGGGGGCAAGACCAGCGCTGCCCAGGGCAGAGGCCATCGGTCTGTCAGGCTCGGCTGCACCTGAGCTCAGGACCGCTGGGTTTCACGTCCCCTCCTGGGTGCATGTACCCTGCATCCGAGAACCACGCTACGGGTCCTTGGCCACTGAGCAACCCAGCAGGTGAGAGCTCCCTGCCCCTCGGCCAGCAGCGTGCTCCGAGTCTGTGTCCTCGCTAGCTCCTGCCCATCTGCTTCTGCCTGTGCACAAATGTTCCTGCTCCGTCTGCTCCGTCTCTGCCCATCTTGGGCAGCCCAGGGCTCTTCCCACTTGAGACAGCAAAGGCTAGTTTTAGGCACGTAGACTGGATGGAGCCTGCTCGCTTTAAAAAAGGAGTGGTCTCAGCCAAAAGCCCGGTATAGCTGGGATCTGCTGCCAGCATTGCCCATGGAAACCCAGACCCCCCTGCCCTGAACCGCCTTGCTGCAGCATACCTCACACGGCCAAAACACGGCTACCTGCCTGCAAAGGAGCCGAGCCCCAGTGCTTTGTCCCTCTTGCCCAGCAACACTGGCAGATTTCAAGCCCAAATGCTCTGGACAGGTCGAACGGCTACTGCAGAGCAAACCCTCCACCCCACGGGCGCCTGCAGGCACGTGCAGCCCTGGTGGCTCTCGCAGGCTGGGAGCCCGCAGCCACTAAACTGCACAGCGAAGGATGGGATGTGGTTCACAGCGAGGGCCTTCATCAATCACTACCAACTTCCCTGTAACAAGTTTCCACATGCCAAATTTCTGCTTACACTGAAACTCTCCAGATGTCCAAATCATGTCGTAATTATAACAATTTTCAGTTATTGTAGACCTCTTTCCTCTCTCTCCCCTGCGGATGAATCTGCAGACTCTATTTAAAGCAAGATCTTTAAGTCTGAGGGTACCTTGGCCAATCCCAGATGCCTGTCACCCAATTAAGTCCTTGAGAATCACTGAGAACAGCATCCCGGTTACTTCAGCCTTTTTCTCAAGGAATGGCTGAAGAGGCCAATTCCCTGACACATCCTTCACTCCCCCTGCATCACTTGTTGAGCCTCTATTTAGACTGCCTTCCTAGAGCCCCCTCAGTTATTTTTAGCTAGTTATTAATCAAACAGCAAATAATCTGGATCTCTGGCTCCTTTTCATCTCGCATGTGCCAGCAACTGCGTCTCAAGCACAGACAGGCCCATTCGCCAGCCTCGGCGCCCCCGGCTTTGCAGAGACACTGACCAGTAGGAGTTGATGATTTTGCAGAAGGCCAGCTCGCAGCACATTTTCAGGTTGCTCTGATGTTCAGGAAGGTCCGAGGATGAGCACTTGCTGGGGTCCACCTCGCAGTTTTCATCGGACTCATACAGCGCTTTGATAAACTCCCCTGCAACACAGACAGAGGTGGCCTCTGGTGACAAGGCAGAGAGGGATGCTGCAAGTCCCCGGGCATAAGGGGTTCATGCAGCTCCTGGCACACGGGTGACTAAGGATGGGGACTGCAGGGTAGGAGGACGTGGCTGGGCCCGTCCTCGTCCAGCCAGCTGGAGAGCTGTCTGGCAAGCATAACCCACTGTAGCTTGGTGGGGTTTGGAGCCCTGCTTTATGGATCAATACAAGAAGCCCCAGCGGGAGGCCTGGCTTCCCCAACACTACTCCACGTTGGACAGGGTGACGTGAGCATGTGGGCTGCACCCCTGCATGGTCACTCTGCCATCGGCTCGTGGCGTGCGGAGGCTGGAGACAGGGCCAGCCAGCTCCAGGACACTGGGATGAGCTGCTGTGCCTGTGGGAGCTGCGTGCAGCTGAAGGAGAGACCGCAGAGGTAGCCGTGCTGGTTGGCTAGTACCGTGCCACACACGCAACAGCATCATGCCAACGTGCCCTCTCCAATGGCCCCGGACGGAAGGACTTGGGCAGAGCTTGGCTCCTTCCCTGCCTGGTGCACGGTGAGGACAAGGCACCTCCCTGCTCAGCCCAAGCACTTTGCCCGGCTCCTGGAGAGCCGCGGCCTTCCCCTTCCCACGCACACCCCATGGTTCGCCTACGTCCTCTCTCCCTTCTGTCGCCTGGAACCGATTTTAATTATTCACCAGCGAGCCCGTCCAAAGTATCTGCAACTCGAGCGGGGAGCTTGGAGCCTCTCTGCCTGCCTGCCTGCCTGGAGGTGATGCCTGCTGTTATTATCCTGCCCTATTACATGGTTTACAGGGAAGCACCATGTGCTGCTGTATTACCTGGTGACACCAAGATGAATCGCTTCCCTGATAAGAGACCTATGAACAATCATTGCCCCAAACAGCCAGCAACCCCTGCCGCCACCTCCCGTGCCAGCCGAAGGCAGCTGGGGAATAGGCACTTCTCGCCCTGGCAGGGGACTAGCCTGAAAGCCTGGCCTTTCATTAATCTCCAGATTTTTTAGCATTTTGTAAAGGTAATCTCCTCCCAGGCCAGCCGTCAGCTGCAAATCATTAGACAGTGGGAACAAATCGCATCCCTCTCTCCCCTCGCGGGCTCGGGCTGAATCTGTTTGTGGATCCTTCCATCCATCTCCAGACCTAAGATTTTTACCCTGGCCCTTCCAGCGTTTTGGCACGAACCACCCCACCTGCCCACTACAAGGACCCCGACATGCAGCCAGCACCATGAGAGGAATAGCGGCCAGCCAGACAGGGAGGGTCACGCATGCGGGCACCAGGCTGGACCCCGGCCCAGGGACCCTCTGGCCAAGCCTAGGAGACTGGCTTCCACGGGAGACACCCCCCTCCTCCTCGACGTGCGGTGCTGTCCATGCATGGGGATCTCCTCCCCACCCTGCCCCAAAGCTGGGTCTGCAGCTGCAGAAAGGCTGCCCAGAGCCAGCCGTGTTTAAACACCAGCATGGGGTCTTCTGACAACTCGGAAAGCAACAGCCGTCACACTAAACAGACCAATCTCATCCGCATCCCGCAGGGACTGCGGGTCTGGGATGCGACATGCTGTGGGTCAGCACCGTGGGGTGGCTGGATGCTACGGCAGAAAACCTGGTGCACAAATGACCCCTTAATGCACCAATTTGCTGCCTCCTCTGCAAGCCAGCTGAAGATCCGGCTGTAGAGAACCGAACACTGACTTCACCCCAACCCCGCACAGCTGTGCAGCGGGGACCCGGCAGCCTGCATGCTGGAGCATGTGGCCCTCCATCTGGAGCCACGTTGTTTGGCTGCGCGGCCTGCTGGGAGGCACAGTCCCGAGGCAGATACTGGGGCCCTGCAATCTGCTCCACGTCATGCCTGTTTCTTGTAGGCTGCAGGCTCCTGGCAGCCTGACAGGGCTGCTGTGATGCCCCTGGCAGCACCGGGGCCAGACTTCAACACCCTCCCCCTGACATGGGATGCCAGGGGAGGTGACAGACGGCCTCTCGCAGACCAGACCCAGCCTCCCACCCGGCTCCCTCGTGCACGTACCTAAGGCATCCTGCAAGTATTTCTGCCCCACGAGCTTCAGGTACTCCTCGATGGCTTTGGTGGCCAGCGTGTTCTCCCGGAAGATGAGGTGCTCGTTCTCCCCGCAGCGGTCCACCTCAGACATCATGAGGTCGGTCAAGAAATCCTGAAACGGAAAGCCCGTGGTGGGTCACCGTGCACTGTCACCAGTCCTCCGCTCTGCTCTGCACAATGGCGCCTGGCAGGGTGCAGATGCACGATTGCTGCTGCTCTGCATGGAAAAAACACTTCAGCTCCCCCTGCCCCTTCCCCAGCTCCCCCCACATCCCCGTGGGAGAGACACGCCGTCTGTGTGCACCATCACATAGCCCCTGGAAAAGCAACCCCCCCAGCGATGACAAGCTATTAGTACAACCACTGCTGTCACTTAGGCCCTGGTTTTAAGGGTGTCTCCTGCTAGGCTCCCTGCTTGTGGGTGCAGATGTCGCCACTATCTTCTGCAGCTGCATTCAGACAGCTGACCGCACTGGAGAGGGGTTTCAATGCCTAGGGCTGCACCGGTGAATGGCTAAAAAGAGAGCCCTGAAATGCATTCAAGTGCTAACAGATCTCAGGCGATGCAGAGTCAGAAACTGAATAAATCCCCATGGGAGAACCCTTAAAATCCAATCCCACCCAAACGCCTGCTGCCTGCCACCCCGGGGAAGACCGGCTTGCTCTCAGCAGTGGCACCGCGACGAGGTGGGCCTGAGAGTCGGTTTTCCATGAAGACAAAGTGTAGTTTCTGGAGGCGCTTTTTGGAGTTGGTCTACACGCACATCGTCCCCGATGAACTTCACATGCAAACGCTCTCATCTGAAAGCGGCTTAAAGCAAACAGAAACAAATGGCTCTTACTGCGGGATAAAAGCTTTCGCATGCAGAGACGGCGAGGAGCAGGCAATCGGGAAGCAGTCCACGGGCAGGGAGCGGTTCCACGTGCTCCGAGCGCGAGCCGTCAGAGGCTGACACTTGATGGCCACAGTCCAGGGAGTTTGGCATCTCAGGATGGATGCGGGAAGTCTCCGGAGAGGGTGGACATTTGGTCTGAGCTTGTATCCAAAGGCCCTTTCCAAGCAGACTGCTGGCGAGCAGATTGGGGAAGGAGGCGGCACCTCCAAGCGAGCGAAGTGGTTGAGCAGTGCCAGACGGACTGCCCTGGAGACCGTCGTCCTCTGCCCACAGGGCGCTGACAGCGCTCCCCAGGCTTGGGCCTGAGGTAAAGGGGGTGGTCCGGCCCTGCCCCCAGCTGGCACCGTCAAGCTGCCTTCAAGGGAGACAGCCAGCTCCAGTCACGGTGGGTCATTTTGCCCGCGGACGCCGGCTCACCCCGGTGCGCTCCAACCGGAGCTGAATTCCTACAGGCGACCTAGAGAGCGGCGCAGCCCGACCCCGAGCTGCTTTAATCTGCCGAGGTGCTGCATTGCTGGGCCCCTTTCTCCAGACAGCACAGGGCACATTTACCGTGGGAAAACACAGAAAGATTGATAGCGGCTCTGCAGTCCCGAGATAGCCAATTGCTCACACGCAGACTGACAGCTGTAGTGCAGCTCACTGGCCGCCGTGATTGATAGCCAGCACTTTGCTTTCCCCTCGTTAGGGAGATTAGACATATTTACAGGACGTGGAAATCAAATGCTATTCGGTGATAGCTGAACATACACCTCCATCTTCCCCGACACCTTGTCTAAAGGCCAGGCTCCCCGAGCAACCGGCTGCATGCGGATTCAGACCAAAATCAGGCCAGGAGTCGCGCTGATCCTGTCTCCGTCCCCTAAATGAGTCTGGGCCTTGCTTTGTGTGTAGGATGGATGGTCAGTACCCCACCGGACCCAAGGACAGCCGCGGCGGGGAGAGCACTGCTTTCTCCGAGAGCCTCCATTAAAGACAGTGCATGTGGCAACTTTCCAATGATAGCCCTCAGCATCTCCCTGGGCCGGACACGGGCTCCTGACATCCCTGCGATAGCTCGGCCTTTTCTTACTGGAAACACCATGAAAAAAGTGTTCCACGGAAGAGAAAACCAAGGGGCAGCAGGACACAAATGCTCAGCAGAGCGCGTGCAAAAGGTGGCGCGGGGGGCCCCTCTTTGCTGCCAGAGCTCTTCAGCTCCCAGCCCACTAAATAATGCACCGGCGTGGACACTCGCTGCCTTCCACCGCCTCCCTCGCCTTGCAGTAAGGACATCTGCTATTCCAGCGATGCCATCGCTGCACCACAGATGTACAACAGGTATGGGTCGGGTTCAGGCCCTTCGAAAGCCACAGCAGGTGCATCTAACTGCCATTCCCAGCTCTCGCATCATTTGCAGAAGAGGCAGCGTAATCTGCAGAGGCTCCTTCTACCTTCAGGTCTGTGAAGGATGCAGCCAGGAGACCTGAATACACATGCACGGGATTCAGCAGAGAGCAAGACCTTCCCTGCAAAACCTGGAGCAACGACTGAAATGCTGGGTGACCTCAGGGAGGGCCAAGGGGACAGAAAATATTGGGCCGCGTTGCTGGTCCGTTCACCGTCCGGATGGGGACATGCAGTGCTGCTGCACGGCTGCACCCTGGCACCCAGGCCAACTCCGTGAGCTGGCTGGATGGCATCTGCCACGCTCCTGCGTTCACAGGAAAGATGAGCTTTTTACAATCAGTATCCTTGGGAGGATCTCTTCAGACAGACGCGCTCACGGCCCCGCAAGCTCTTGGACCCGGAGCTCGCTCTCTCCTTCCCTTGGCTATTTTCTCTGCGCTTCACCCCTTTTATCAGCCGAGCCGGAATGAAACGTGAAGCCCCTCTCCAATCCCGGGAGCTGCTATCTGTGTAACGCCATCGCCTTCATCTGCCCAGGTCTCTCCCGGTCTATGTTTCAATTCCAAGCCTGACACGAGGTGCTGATTCTTAATTAGCAGCTGCTGACCTTGGCTTTTGCCTGATTCTCTTTCCTGTCACTTCCCCAACATACTAATTATCTCAGGAACGGGGAGTTTTAGAGCTCCGCTCAGCCAAGGCTTCACTTTTTTTGTCAGTTGAGGACCTGGTTGGGAGCAGGGACGCCTCGGCCCACGCTGCCGGAGCCCCGGGGCTGTAAAAGCTCCATCGACCACGGAGCTAATGCAGAGCCAGGCGACGAGGCCCAAAGCAAGGCTGCCCTTGGAGCTCGAATACAAAGACAAGCCCTGCATCCTCTCAGGGATGGCCCAGGCCAAGTTCCAGCCTGAAGCCATGAGAAATTTGGCGACTTCAAAAGCCGAGAATCCAAAAACTGAAACAAAAGACCCAAAAAGACACCAGAGCTGAGAAGACAGCTGGGAACTCCTTGCATGGATGTCACCTGGTACCGACCACGGCCTGCTCGGAGACTCGTGGCAGCCTGTTTCTGGGAGATCTCTAACTCCTGTCCTTGGCCTTTGAGGGCCCTGGGTGCTCATCTTCTGCGAGCTGGCCCCGTCCCCATTCCCAAATCAGAGCAAGCAGGCGTGACATCCAGACCTGAACATCCCCGCGGGGCCTGTGACACGATGGAAAGCTGTCCCTCGCCTCGCTCCTGCGTGGGCTCCCAGGGCATCCTGCCACATCACGCTGTGTGCCATCCTCCTGGGCCCGGCCTCCCAGGACAGACATGAGCCGGATCAGCTGTGGGTCACTCCTCCGGACCTCGCCTTCAACCTGCCAGCAGCTGGCACCCGGCAGCCAGACACAGCAGGCTGCAGAAGCCCTCCCTGGGCCTCCCTCACTCATGTACCGGAGGTTGGATGAATGCAATAACAAGAGCAATAAAGCTCCCTGGTTCAGGAGGAGGGGGCTGGTTTCATTTGGGCTCCTGTCTACGGAAGGAAATAATACACTTGATTTCACTGCGGTGGAGCGCGGAGGGAAGGGGGAGGCCAGCAGGGAGAGTCAGAGGCTGCTTAATAAACGATGCAGGGATTTGCTTCAGCCTGGACCCAGCCGAACCTGCGCAGCCCCTGGCACGTCGCACACCCAGAGACAACAGAGGCTGGAGGCTTGGCCAAATAGATCGAGGGCACGCTGGTGCACTGCAGGGCTGGCTCCCCCCGGCCTTTTAGAGAAGCCACGGGGCCCACACAGGCCAGCTGTGGCACGCGCGCTGGCGCTTCCAAAACAGACCTCCAGAGAAAGTGCATGCAGTTATTAAATGGCCTTAGTGGCAATTAGGCCCTCTGGGACTTCTCCTGGTCAGCTGTGATGGATGCTCCATACGGTCCATGAATGGCAGTAATGCACCTCCATGTTCCCAAGGTTACGATGCGACAGGCCAGTCAGGAAGCAACCACCTTTCCAGAGCTTGGGCAGGGGCAGGAACCTGCAGGGCACCTCACTGAGAGCATCCCCGAGGGTGACTGCCTCCCCCGACCCACCCCTGAATCCCACCACCGTGGACTGAGTCGGCGGCTGCCCGAGCCATTGCTGAGCTAGTGCCCAAGATGCACAACGCGCACCCACGCAACGTGAGAGGAAAGGCACACTCAGCTCCCCACACTACCTGAAGGAGGAAGCCTTGCCCCAGGGAGCTGGGGCAGCCTGAGATAAACCCCGAACAGCTTTAAAGCCCACCCACGCTCTCAGTCCCTGGATGACACCTGGCCCCACAGCCACGGAGGCTGGTGTCACACGTGCAGCTTAACGCTCGCTACGCGCAGTCAGGACGTGGGCAGACGCACGGTCGAGCCGTCCAGCATGTGTCTGGGGGGTGCGAAGCCGGTCCCTTTCAGGCGAGGGCTGTCTCCAAACCTGTGCTAACTTTAACTGGTCACTGCGTGGCGCTGCCTCTGTGACGAGGCCCAGCTCACAGGCAGCTGCAAGAATGCCCCCTCCAACCTGTGCTGGTGGGGGCACACGTGCTTGCAAGCACATCCAGGTACACTCCCGCACCTGAGAAAGATGCCAAGAGAAGAGCAGTGGGATCCCACAGACGTTTCCTCGAGACCCTACAGATTTGAGCAGAAAACAGGAGGCCTGCCCGTGGGTTTCTGAAGCCACCCTGCAGGGAGCAGTCCATTGCTAGGCTGCTCCCATCCCAACCCACACGCGATTGCCCGTGGGCCTGCACACACAGCGAGGACGCTCTCGCCGTGCTTGCCGCAGCAATGCGGAGCTGTCCCCAGCCGGCTGGCTT